GTGTTTTATTGCGATTGTACACAAATATAAGTAAACACTTTGCAGTTTGAATAATGTCCTGTATGAACAAAAGGACGGAGTATGTTTTAATGTCTACATTGTTCAATCACGTTTCACACACACACACACACATACACACACACAAACTTTTTTCTAATCAGATCAGGCAAGTAATATTCTGTCTTGGCACACTTGATTTAACTTTCAATCTTGTGTACTTATTTCATGTGTCCATTAAGTCCATGAGACCGTAGGGTGTCTCATTTTTCATTTTAGGTTTCAGAAGGTTGCTCACGCATATGATATGTGCCCTCAATGCACACTTTTGCAGAGCCCACACCAATGCAAGCTCTACAGTACACATCTTCTCAACAGTCAAAGCGGGGTTAAGTTATTGCCCGTCATGCACAGTAACCCTAAAGGCACCAGGGTGGCGGTGCCACCGGCTTGTTTATATATATATATATATATATATATATATATATATATATATATATATATATATATATATATATATATATATAAATATAGCTGCGAGCAGCGATGAAGGGCCAAAGCCGGTGGCACCGCCACTCCGGTGCCTTTAGGTAACTAAAGGCACCGGGGTTGCGGTGCCACCGGCTTGGGCCCGTAATCGCTGCTCGCAGCTATATTTATTATTATTATTATTATTATTATTATTTTTCTGCTACCTTTTGGACACTTTTGGAGGCCTTAACATGCTCAAAAACTCCTGAAACTTTGCACACATGTCAGAACCCGCGGCCATCAGGGCCGGGCTGAAGATGGTACCCGGGCGTGGCAGGGGGGCTCGACAGCGCCCCCTGGAACGGGGTCCGAAAACATGGTCCATAAATCAAACACGCTTGCATGTAATAATATGAAACTCGGTACACATGTAGATCTCCTCGTTTCATATATACTTCACACTCTTACTTTTTACCCCAGCCCAACAGGAAGTCGGCTATTTAGGGTTGTTGGTAAAACACACGCAATGGAATGTGAAATACTCCTCCTAGAGAATTCAAACAAACGGCACGAAACTCGGTCAGCATGAAGTCAAGACATTGAGGATGAAAGTTTGCGAGGGGATTTTTGATATCTCGAACGGTTTGGCCGTGGCGAGGAAACGAATTTATGGCGAGAAACAACAAACAAGAAGTGCGTTATAACTTCTGCATACATTAACTGATCTTGATGAAACTTCAGCAGTGTGATCGCTGTAAGAGGCCGATCACATGGATGTGACTATTGTGAGTCAAAGTTATAGCGCCACCAACTGGCAGCAGGAAGTGTGTCACTTTCTAAATGCTTTTGACAAAAGTGGGGGGGTTAGTTTTATCTACAGTAACAAAACTCGATATGTATATTGTACTCTTCGAGCCGGACAACTTTCTAATTTACCGTAATTAGCTACGACCAACAGGAAGTCAGATATTTTGGTTTGAATGTGGATTTCAGATTCTGAGTTTTTAGCTACTCCTCCTAAGTAGTTTATTTTATTCATGCCAAACTTTTTCAACATGATGAAAATACATTGAAGATGCTAAATTGTGAACAGATATTGAATATCTCAAACGGTTTTGCTATGGTTGAGGGATTCAAGTAATGTCAAAAAAAGAATCAGGGCATGTCTCATATCTTTCTAAAATGTAATTATACACCATTTATTTTTATATAAAATTATACAAATATTAGAACTAAACCCATTTTATTCCTTTTTTTCAATTTAAGAATTATTTTTAAGTTTAAAAACAGCCAGAATGGTTGTTTAGTCAAAAATAATAATAATCCAAATCATATATAGTGCTATACTGCCCTCTTGTGTTCAAAATCAGGTAGGCCTATTGAATTTATAAATATTTATATATTAGGGATGTTACTATGGGAATATTTTCCCACCGGTTAATCAACGTGTGATTGTGTAAACCAATTGTGTAAACCTCCCGCTGGGGGGTTTAAAAACACTAACTTGAAAGCGAAAGTATAATATGGACGTCCGCACAGACATTGAAATGGTGGCGCTCGAATGAATTCCTATGGAAGTAGAAATTAACTAAACGTTCGCTCTGTTCTGCTCGCTCGTCGCCATGGACGCGCACCATTATGAATGCCAGTGCAGCCGCATACTTTTTAGTGTCACTAAAATTAGTGCAATTTCGGGGGCCGATTGCTTGAATTGTGAGTTCAATAGTCTATTATTTTTCACGGAAAACACAACAATAAAAGAGTACAATGACAGATTCGCTTAAATAGGCGTTTTTACATAAAATAGCCTATTCCATCATCATCTTTTCAGTCAGCTCTTCACTCTCGTGATTAATGAAATTTGACTCCTGTTGCTGATATTTGCTGCAACTTTCGTTCAGCTCACAATTTAGTAAGCAAACACGTTTCAAATGTGTTTTTATTTTATTTTTGTGTATGTGTGTGTATATGTATGTATATATATAAATATAGCTTATGTTTCAAATATGAGTTAATTAACAATCGTTGGAAAGAATGATACTTTTAAACATAACACTAAACCGTCATTAGGTGTCGCCAGGCGACCGTCTTAATGAGCGAGTCATTGATTCATTCGTTTGAACGACTGAGTCATTCATGAATGAGATAGATGTTTATGGATTGATTGGTCATTGAATCTTTGAGTCAACCGATTCGTTCAAAATGCTGAATCATTCAGTAATGAGAACGCGTTGCTGTGAGATGCGCGATGGTTCTGCTGTGATCTTTGTTTAACTATTTTCGCTGCTGAAACAGAAAAAAAGTCAATATTGCATGTAAAATGTAAGTGATTTGACTTGTGTGTGTGTGTGTGTGATTGTGTGTGTGATTGTGTCTGTTACAGTGATAAGAGTTTAACCCTTGTTAAACTTTAGGCCTTGTCTTTTTGGATATATATCTTTTTATATTAAAAAATAGTCATACAACCCATATATTTTAAATGTATTGTTTGCTTTAAATTACATTAAGATTGTATGTTTGGTAATTGAACCTGAATGAATTTTAAATGAATGTGCTATATTTCAGATCATATATTTGTTTTCCTTAAAATTTGAACTAACACTAACTTTATTCTCATCTGAATGATAGATTATTTATTTCTGTATAAAATAAAAACACATTTGATTTTTCTTTTTTAATCAATGTAGAATGTGTAACTGAAAAAATAAACAGATTAGGGCTCTGTTTGATGACAAGAAATGAAAACCAATGCGATATGATGAATGTCCAAAAGATGGCTCCCACAGACTGTTTTTAAATAGGATTGTTTGATATTTTTTGCTTTTAAACTGTGTGTGTGTGTGTGTGTGTAAGAGATTTTGGTTGGGTGACAGTTGTAGTTTACAGTTTGACAAGAGTTTATAGCTTGACAAAAGCACAATGTTGTGTTTTATTGCAAGTGTACACAAATATAAGTAAACACTTTGCAGTTTGAATAATGTCCTGTATGAACAAAAGGACGGAGTATGTTTTTATGTCTACATTGTTCAATTACGCCACACACACACACACACACACAAACACACACACACACACACACACACACACACACACACACACACACACACACACACACACACACACACACACACACACACAAACACTATTTTTCTAATCAGATCAGGCAAGTAATATTCTGTCTTGTCTCTTAAAAAAACAATATATATATATTTATGTATATATATATATATATATATATATATATATATATATATGTATGTGTGTGTGTGTGTGTGTTTGTGTGTGTATATATATAAATATAGCTGCGAGCAGCGATGAAAGGGCCAAAGCCGGCGGCACCGCCACCCCGGTTATAGCGCCACCAACTGGCAGCAGGAAGTCTGTCACTTTCAAAAAGCTTTGAAATCACCTGATTGCTTCAAACTTCACTACTATGATGTAAACACACGGCAGATGTAGACCTGGATGTAGACCTGACCTTTCAGAAGGTTGCTCTCGCATACTTTGTGGTTGATATGTGCCCTCAATGCACACTTTTGCAGAGCCCACACTGATACAAGCTCTACAGCACACTTCTTTTCGACAGTCAAAGCAGGGTTACGTTTTTGCACGTCGTGCACAATAACCCTAAAGGCACCAGGGTGGCGGTGCCACCGGCTTTATATATATATATATATATATATATATATATATATATATATATATATATATATATAAATATAGCTGCGAGCAGCGATGAAGGGCCAAAGCCGGTGGTACCGCCACCCCGGTGCCTTTAGGTAACTAAAGGCACCGGGGTTGCGGTGCCACCGGCTTGGGCCCGTAATCGCTGCTCGCAGCTATATTTTTCTTTATGTTTAATTTTTTTTTTATCAGTCAGCGGGAGCCCTTTGACAGGAGGATAGAAAAATAGCTAAAGAAGAGTGGCAAACCACAGCGGATTATAATTCATAAATAGTGTTAATATATATATATTTTTTGTGTGAACAACAATATTGTCTCTTTCTTCTAAATGGCCCTTGGAATTTTAGAAAAGGGATATATTGTGTTTGTCTTCATAAAATGCTGTGTAGGACACTGTTTTGTAGCTGTATGACGATCAATAGAGAATAGTAGCCTACAGCAGATATTTCATCGAGGATCAATATGATTACATGGTAGGCTGTCTAATGGGCTAAATTTGGTTAATATCTAAATGTAACTTTATATAAATTCACAACAACATATTTCACTCAGTATCCTGTATATTAAAACCTATGGTGAATAGGCCTACTGCAACAACTGCAGTAGGTCATATCATTACTTGTCATAACACATAGTTGATCCAACTATGTGTATTTTTTATTTTTCAATTCACAAAAACAAATAGTCTTCTGTAGGCTGAAGGAAGAGAGTGAACGTATCAGGAAAAACAGGGGCGTAAAACTGCCAGGGGCGTATATCTACCGGCTCCAGGTCTGCAGCCTCCCCATTTAGGAATAAGGAATACTTTCAGCCCCTTTAAGAAATATGACACTCTGAGTCTGCGCACTGGGGATGCGCAGAAGACAGAAGCGCGAGAGAGACGAGCTGAAACTTTCACCAGTTGAGGCTGAAAGTGACGCTGTTAACGATCGTGAATGAAGGAAAAATGTGGAATATTTTCTTCGGATGCCGTATATTTCCAGTCTGCAGGTGAGAGATGTTACCAGATTACAGAGTTTAACATCAACTAACCAGCTCCTCGAGTTTGTGTGTTTATGGGCCAATGTAATGAAAAGCGTTGTGTGTCCTGGTTTATAATTATTAGAGTCTAATAATATGTTGGTAGAGTGTTTTTACAGACTCTGTTTAGGGCTCCAGAGACTAACTGATTTTACTGGGAACGCTGTTGTAGCCCATAACTGATATTTTTTTAGGAGCACAGGCTGAAAATGTAGGCTACATTTCCCCCCCTATTTTGACTGTATTACTGTAAATGCCTTGGTAAAATACATAACGTCCAGAAATTACAATGTGTAGTTTTATTTTAACTCTTTAGGCGCCAAGGTTTTTTCGAAAAAATGCCGGATTTTGACATCAAAATTTCAAAAGCTTTTGGCTTGAAAGGGCTTAAAGAAAGAGATCTACTGTAAATTAGACAAATGTTGGGGATGACTGAAAGTTTATGTGGGGTGTAAATATACTATTCTAATTTGCATATTATGACGTCATCAGGGGCGGCCCTCTTGAATTTCATAATATTCAGGAAATAGTAGATATTGAACTGATGTTTGAACTTATTTGCATGTTTTATTTTTTTAATCCTCGGCACCATTGCGCTTCAAAGTTGTACCGGGAGAGGCGCGGGCGGCACGATTGCGCGGCAAAGATGTACCGGGAGAAGCGCGATCATTAGACGGCTGATCATCATTTACAAAAGGCAAATATTCCCCTTCAGAGTCAGAATCGGCGAATAACATTTGCAATACATCCTCACGGTACAAGTTTTTATTCGCCATTTGACGATTTTCTCTCACAAATCTCACAATTTACTCAGACGCTCTGAACTGAACTGCTTCCGCATCAATGACACGATCGCTCACTTGCTCTGCTGTTTCCTCCAACACTTTACATAGGAACATGACGTCATTTTGATCTTGAATCGAAGTATTACATGTCTGCCATCTAGTGGTAGGGAATACAAATTAGATATTACACCATATTATGATCTACAGCCTGTTTTATTAAGTATGACGTCTTGTCGCAATTTTGCGACTTTGTCGCTTAAAGGGTTAAGTTCACAGGGCTCCAGACTAACATTTGAGGGCAGCAGCACCAGAGCCACCTAGTTCTCAAGAAAGTTGTAAAACTGTGGGGCTGATTATAAACCACTGAGCTTAATTTGAGGTGTAGATAAAATTAACTTAAATTATTATCATTCATAATTTCTTGATATTAATTTAAAAGCAAAACAAGAGGGAAAAAATCAATATTAGGGAGTGAAAATAGCTAATAAAGCGGTGCTCAACAACCACCAACTGGTTACAATGGTAATTTAATATTTTTTATTTTTAAATAAGTGTGAGTTCCCTTTCGAGAACAGACACTCCGTATTGCGTAGCTAATACGCAGTGGGTAAACTCCTTTTCCTCGAAATATTGAAGCATAATTTAAAACGCAGTGCAGCTGCACAGCGAGACACAGTAGAGCGTCTTGCTCACTCATTGGCTGTGATCCAGCAACTGCACATCCAATGACCGAGCACCTCTGAACTAGGGTGACCACCTGCTAATAAGCCCAAGGGGGGACAAGGGGTATGTTTCTGAGGGACAATGTGGGACAGGCGCGGCGGTGCCCCCACCCCACGGGCAGACTCACTGATAGTGGTTTACCCATTTCTAGCACATACCACCTTACATAGTATATTAATAATGCTCTATTCCCCTAAATATGTGTAATTGCTGATATACATGAATAGGCCAACCAATGTGTATTTTTTCTAAATAAAGATTCATAATAGTTTGAACATTCAATGAATTGACAGATGCACTTCCACTTACGATTTACTTTAGCATTTAATTTGATTTATTTTTCATTACAATTTATTCACTTTAAATAAATTATAATATAAAACTATAGGATTAACAGGAATTGTAGTTGCTCAACACCACAGGAACATTTTTTACTTTTTTTTTTATAAAACTCCCTCTCGGTATCCCCCTCAACACCTTTCAGCCACAAATATTCATTTTCCCAGTCTTTCTTGTACCCACACCTTCTTTTTTTAATTGATGATGGCGATGCGGTGCCTCAGACTCAGTCTCTTTCTCCATTTTTCGAATTGGAAAGCGCGCATCTATGCGCGCGCATCTGGTATGCACGTGCGTGCGCTGTCATGACAACAACGAAAAAGTTGACGACAACCTAGTCAGCAGTTCAACTGAGGTGTGGGTCACGTGTGTGTGGCAACAGTAGCGTGCTGAACCTGGTGCTCGCCTGCACGAGGACGACGGGCACACAGAGTGCGCAACGTGTCTGGGCCCACGCCGAAGCTGCACTGTCCGCCCCGGACTGCTCTCGCAATGAGAGCCTACCCATCTCGACGCTGCGGAAGCGGTTAGCTCTCTTTTCTGACAGCGACACCGCTCTTCCTAACCTTCCTTTCACGGCACTACTTCAGCTGAGGAAAAAGAAGCGGCAGCCCGAGCACATGGAGTTCAGCGAGTCCACGCCGGCCACGTCCCCGGGTGCTTCCTGGTGTTTACACAGGCAGATCAGCGCCTCTTGTGACTGCCCTCGTCTCCTTCGGCGGATCGGATGAAGAACAAGACAGCCTCTCCATTGCTGCGTCTAAAGAGGAATGGTCGGACTCCTAGGAGTCGGGTGGACGGATGGTTTCTGCCAGGGCACCAGCAGGCCCCCCGTCACAAACCAGCGCCTTTCTTTCCAGAAGTTCAAGAGCTAGCGAAGTCATGGCACGCGCCATACTCAGCGCACGAGCGCCTCCTCTTCCGCGACGCACTCGTCTGTCGATGGCGCCGCGGAAAGAGGCTATGAGAAGTTACCGCCGCTAGAGGAAGCAGTCGCCGCCCACCTGTGTCCACCCACTGCTGCTGGCTGGAGATCGAGAGCGGTTCACCCCTCAAAGCCCTGCCGTAACACCTCAGCCCTCACCGGACGCGCCTTCACAGCTTCCTGTCAGGCTGCATCGGCCCTGCACACCATGGCGGTGTTGCAGGTTTATCAGGCAAAGCTTCTCCAGTCTATGGACGAGTCAGGCCCGAACCCCGATGCATTCCGCGACCTGCGCAGCGCTACTGACTTAGCGCAACGCGCCATAAAGGCTTCCGCCCAGGCGATCGGCAGAAGCATGGCGAACCTTGTTGTGCTCGAGCGCCACCTGTGGCTTAACCTCACGGACATCAAGGAGGCTGACAGGACGGCATTTCTCGACTCTCGCATCTCTAGCACCAGCCTCTTCGGCCCGACGGTCAAGGGATTTTCTGAGAAGTTCACCGAGGCACAGAAGTCTTCTCAGGCCATGAAACACTTCCTGCCCAAAATGCTCCAGCTCTGTGTCGAGCCACCACAAGCCCTCTCAGCCAGCCAAACCGGCGCCTCGGGTCTCCCAGCCCCCCCTGCGACTAGGGATGGCAATTGATAAGATTTTATCAATATCAATGCCACTATCGATTCTGCTTATCGATCCTTTAACGATTCTCTTATCGATTCCTGATGCACTGTGTGGAAATAAGTAGTCATATGCTTTTTCGGGGAAAAAAACAAGTGGTTTTATTTGTTTTAAAGCTTACACTTGAGTAAGCAAACTTTACTTTTTATGTTATTTATGTAATAAATGAAACCTTATTGTAAAGTGTTACCGATTAGTTATACACTGATTAAATGTCCCGTGAGTTCAGTGTTGGAAAGAGAAGTTGTTTTTACCATTCATTAAAACGAATCGGTTCAAATGAGTCATTACCGAGATAGCACACATACTTCTGCAAGATGTCTGTTAAAGATCACTTCATCTGGAAACCATCTGCTGTTTACTAACATCTGATAGACATCTTTAAGATGTCAGTTTAACATACATTCTAAATCATTACATCTTAAAGACATCTTCTAAACGTCTATTTGACATCTGACAGGAAACGTCCTATAGACGTATTGCAGATGAGCAAACACTCTAAAAAATGCGTCTTCCAGATGTAAACACACACATCAAATAGACATCTCTGTGATGTACGTGTGCTATCAGGGTAGTTCGCGAATGGGACGCGTCATTATCGGACGTGTGCGCGTTGTGTGATTTATCCCGGCGCGTTGGGACATCCCACAAGATGTGTGTGTCATCACAGAAAACATTTCATCAATGGATAGTTTTTTTTCCCATTTATTTAAAGTGTGGTTTATGTCAACTGAATGTGCAGAACGCTTTTCAGAGAAGATAAGGCAACGTATTTTAGCACAATTCACACCCAGCAGTAGCCTAATTCAGGAAAAACAAATCTCCGAATGCTCCACATGAAACTTTAGTCTCCCGATCTTACCATCGTGTCGTTTATTTTGATTAATATGTGCGAGGGAGAGAGAGCAAGAAAGCGCTTAGTTTTGAGACGGTGAAGCCTTGCTCCGAAGAGAGAGCTAGGGCTGGGATAAACGATTATTTTTTAAACGATTAATCTAGCGATTATTTTTCGATGCATCGATTAATCTAACCATTCGTTTTTCCAGTCCGATTCGATTTCGATTCGATTTGATTATCGATTATCTCCCCATTAATTGACTAATAGCACTTTATAAATTTACATATCTGAATGAAAAAAAAACATGAATTCCTTAACATTGCAATATATGTTTATTGCTCTTAAAATTCCAAAATAAAAGACTATATAAGTGCAAAGTACTGCATTCTTATTTTCGTAACATTCTCATTTTCCACTAGATATGTTCCTCTATATCTCATCAGCAATTTCGATTTCGGCACGCTCTGCAGCAACTGAGCACTAAGGAGTGAATGTACAGTGACGTGACATCACTGCCAGATTCAAACTGTGCTTTCGCACTATGGCTGGCGCTGAGCCAAAGACGGACGCGCTCAGCGCTTGTCATCATAGGCTATATCACAACTGTTCAGTGTTTTTGACCACATAATGTTTATTTTAGGTTTCAGACATTTAAATACATTTAATTTATAGTAAAACAATACATTTATAGTTTCTCCCAGTTCACCGGCCACTTACTTTCATGTATTTCGGGAGAAACTGATGAATTCACGTGCTGTAATAAATCCAACAGACAGGAATCTCGGAACTGCGGCCTAAACAAAAACATGACGGCGACATCTCTCGCATGCATTGTCGTGCGTGCCGCCTGGCACTTCTGAAAGTCTGAGGAGCCACTCGTGTTGCTATACTACTCTCCGGCGCCGCCGTCTTTGTTTTGGGTCTGACGAATCAACGCGAATATTTTGCGTCGACGTCATCGATGACGCCAACGCGTTGTCCCAGCCCTAGCGCACGCGCGACCGGGGCTCTCTCTCTCTCTGCTCGTTCAGTTTAACATGCGCCCTGTCACAAGCGCAGCAATTCAACTACATTACTCACCGATCAAATAAGACTTTGGCGGTACAAAAATTCGCTTTGGACGCCATGCTATGGTGCTTGATAAAGGACAAAAGGGACAGTTGTGAGTTCACGGTCTGTAGCCTACATACTAAGGCTGACTCAGAGCAGGAGCATCGATAAGAGGACTCGTTAACGTCAAGGGCATACAATATCGACGCGGTCGTCAAGACCTCGGTGAAAAGCAACGTGGCTCACGTGCTTCGCACCGAAGTGAAAAATTTACTAGCAAAAGGGGGGATCGAACCGGTCCCTCCTGCTGAGTTGGTCAGGGTTTTACAGCGATTATTTTCTCGTACCAAAGAAAGACGGCGGCACACGCCCCCTTTTAGACCTGAGTCATTTGAAAAAAGCCTTCATGAGACGGCTGTTCAGATTGATAACTACCAAACAAATTCTCTCGCAAGTGCAAAGGCTGCTCGGGTCTCATGGCGGCCTGACCTGAGTCATGACCTGAGACCTGTGTGCCTAAATATATTCTTTCTTTCTAACTAATCTATCTTTCTTTCTTTCTAACTAATCTATCTATCTTTCTTTCTAAATAATCTTTCTTTCGTTCTTTTCTTTTTTCATCAGTACTCCAGCTAGGACTACTGTTTATGCACCGTCTTCAGCACTGGCTCAAAAGCTGTGTGTCAGCCCATGCATGGTGGTCGGGCCGCCTGCACATTACGGTGAACCAGTGCTGTTTGGTAGCTCTGGTCTCTTGGAAAGCCCGAGACTGGTACCAGTCGGGTGTGAGTGTAGACGTGGCCTCCAGGAGAAAAGTGATTTTTACAGACGCCTCCAACCAAGGTTGGGGAGCGCTGCATGAGGGCAAGCCTGTCTCCGGACTCTGGTCGAGCCTGGAGAAGAGATCAACTGCTTGGAAATGAGAGCAGTTTGGTTAGCCCTGAGAGCTTTTCTACCAGACCTCAAGGGACACCACGTCCTTGTCTGCACAACATGCCAGTGGTGTTTTGCATAAACCAACAGGACGCCTGGCAGCCTGTATGTCATGGCCAGAAAGCTCCTTCTGTGTGCCTAAATATATTCTTTCTTTCTAACTAATCTATCTTTCTTTCTTTCTAACTAATCTATCTATCTTTCTTTCTAAATAATCTTTCTTTCGTTCTTTCTTTCTTTATTGCTAAAGAAATCAAGAAAGTCCTCACAGGAAATAAGTGAGGACTTTTGATGTTATTACTCAAAAGTTGAATTACTACAGAATTAATAATGGAAAATAAAAGTTTCGAATTGCTAATATTGGCCCTAATAATATTGGAGAGGTAGGTATTTTTTGCCTTGCTTACAGCTTTCTGATAATTAAATAAGGAATCGATAAGGGCGTCATAAGTGGACTTTGCTTATTTTTCAACCCTATTAGAAGAAAATAAACAATTTGAAACAGTTGCTAAACTGTTGAAAAATAAAGTTTCAAGCCCAGAAGTTTCCAAGCAGCACAACAGTAATGACTTTATGAACTTCTTTACTTATAAGATTGATAATATCAGGGAGAAAATTATAACTATGCAACCGTCTACTTACAGCATCAGCATCAGGGGGTGCATTGTAGTCTCCCTAAAGCCTAGTTCACACTTCATGATTTTAAACCATCGGGCTGAACTGTGCGGTTCACACTACATGACTTGCTCTCTGTGAAATCAGGAGTGTTCAAGTTGTTAAGCTAGTCAACACCACAAGACACAACGTGATTGATCCGCAACAGGAGGTAACGCACTACACGAGTTGACAACAACTCTGTCACCCAACGATTCTATCTTGTCTACAAACCACGTTTTGTCACGAAAAATCACGCGATAAAACGAACCGGAAATGACGCGAAACAGCTCGTGCGCCAATACCCAGCGAAGAAGATGAAGAACACAACATGCGAACATGCCTTGGTCTGATTGGCTGTAGCTCATGACATCACATGAGCTTGATTCGTGACAGCTCTGGATATCTAGCATGCTAGATATTTTTCTGGGCTCGGCGACGCGTCTGCGAGCGTCTTTGAAGCGTTGTTGGCTCTTTCATACTAACAGATTGGCGAGCATTCATCGCCCGCTAATCCCCCGCGATTTGCACGCGATAACACCCTGACCTGTCTGCGAGCTCAACGATTTGCAAATCGGGCTTAAATCGGGCTTAAAATCATGTACTGTGAACTAGGCTTAAGGCAAAATTCGAACAAACAGAAAAAACAGAGATTCTAATTATTGGACAAAAAAATTCCTCACGTAATGACCTGTCTAACACTTGATTGCTGCTCTGTCAAGTCTTGGTCGTTGAGCACTTCGAGCACTTCGACTCGGCGCAGTAATATCATCTCTCGTGAAAAATCCTCTCCCCCACTCCCTCTCCTCCTCCCTCTCATTCCAACGGGAGCGGACTTTTCACGAGAGATGATATTACTGCGCCGAGTCGAAGTGCTCTCAAGCACTTGCTATGGTATTCTGCCATACAATATAGTTATCCATTTTACACGCTTAGAAAAGCGCAACGTTTTATTTTGTGTCACCGTTCTTGGTCGAGTTACACTACTCTAGTAACTGTATTTAAATAGGGAAAACGTGGAGGTGTTTGGTCGCTTCTCTTCTGGGCACGTATTGAATGAACAGGGCTGAGATAAGATCTAACAAAGTTTCGCCGCAAGACAGCGATTGAGTGCACGCACTGAGACGAGAGAGGTATGTATCAACTCCTCTTAGTTAAGGGAATAACATAGTTTAATATGAAAAACCAGTAGAGTATCCCTTTAACAACCTTAGTGTGTCATAACAAGTTCCTTTGTTACTTCCCCTAGACGGGTAGAGGGATGTAACATTTACATTTATGAATCTACACAAAGGATATGATGATGTACTCTTTAACTCCAGCTTTATTGCTCAATGTTTGAATGAATGACTCTCTCATATAGACTTGAGGTGTGTTCGACTTGAAGCGGCGCTGCGCAGACCGATCGGTGTGTGAGAAATGTATGTTTCAAAGTACAGAGAGAGTGATTAGAGAGCGGCTCACAGTACTTACATGTCGTACATCGATCAGTCTGTGCAGCACCGCTTCAAGTCGAACACATCTTTTACTTGTTTCAATAGTAGATGAATGTACTCTTGAATGATCTTTTAACAATTGAGAAGAGGCCCTAGAGCAAAACAATGTCAATTAGCAAATTAACAGTCTAACAAACACGTTTAACTGAGCTGCTGAAAATCATCTTTATCTCGTTCAATAGTCCCTGTTTTCACCTCATTCATTATGCTGATGTCTGAGATCTTCTGTAAATTGGCACATCATGCACGTCATTAGTGTCAGACAAACCACAGGATCATCACTTTGTGTGTTAATCACCTATCAATGTGTTTTTAATGTTTTACTCCTCAACTTAAAGTACATGACTAAAAATACTATTAAAGGCTACAGAAACCAAACCTGCAAACTCTCTTTCTGACACTGAAATGGACCATTCATGATTAGTTCAGATCTGAGTTTTTATTCGAATGTATATCTGAAGGGAAATTACTGTGTTCATAAAAGTTTCGATGGAATCAATGGTATCTTTCCTCAGTGATGCCTAATAAAGTAGTGTTTATAAGCGCAGCGCTGCTTGTGTTCAGGAGTAACCACTGTATTTCTGCTTTTCCACAAGCGCCACCTTCTGTCAGAGAGAGAATTTTCTTTCAGTTTGTTCATAAAACTTTAATTACATAATCATTAATTAGGCTCAAATTTGAGTTTTATCATTTAATAATTTTTTTGTTTTGTCAAAACTATATTATTTGAATGGTAAAGTTGTTTAAATTCTATTTTTATTTGCATTGTACAGTTTATAACGTTACTAGACATTGGCGTTGTTTCAAAACAACTTTGCTACTGAAACATGTAGAATTTAATTTTTAAAACAATTGTTACTTATACTACAACCTCCTCTATTCAGTCTGAATATTAAGTGGATTTTTGTCGTCTAATATATAATATAATAATAATTTAAACATAATAATATTCTGGGTTACATAAAAATTAGCAAGAGCTTTTTCATACACTACCAATATGTAACTCAAAATGCTCTATATTTGAGCTAAATATATTTGAAGCACCACGTGTGTTTTGCTGTTAAAGTATTCCAGGATAAATTAAGTAACTTATCTTTGATTTTCCCAGATCTGGTCCTGTGGGCGTCAGTATCACACAGTGATCACAGTTCACACCTGCAGTGAAGCCCCTCCCACAACAATTCACCAATAAATACTGGGAATATTCACATCATCCTACAAGAGAAGGACAAACTCCAGGAGTAGCAGCTGAAATCTGTGTGACTGTTAAAGATGGAGTTTATTAAAGAGGAGACGGAGTTTATTAAAGAGGAGATGGAGTTTATTAAAGAGCAGACGGAGTTTATTAAAGAGGAGATGGAGTTTATTAAAGAGCAGACGGAGTTTATTAAAGAGGAGATGGAGGTTATTAAAGTGGAGATTGAAGACAAGAGTGATCCAGAACCATCCAGAATAAAACATGAAGATACTGAGGAACAAATAGGTTGGTGTCCATTTTTGATTCTTCATTGCTTTGGTAGCTGTGAAATAATAAGCAGTATATGAATGACAAATTCTAAATGCTTATATAATTGTAATAGTCATCTTTTATGTACTTTTAACCATAATCTTTTAGGCTATAATTCAGAGTTCAAATGTCTTATATTCAAATGGTTATTTTGGTTATGGTTATTTTATTTATAAAGCACTTTACAACTGCGCCTGCAGACCAAAGTGCTGTACAATCAACCACATAAAACAAACAACACATAAAAACAACATGCAACTTACAAATATAAATACTAGCCCAACCTCTCAAAGGCTAAAGACATGAAATAATTTTTAACACTGGTTTTAAATACATTTAAAGAAGTGATCTCTCTTAATTCAAGAGGCAGACTATTCCAAAGCCTCGGACCCGCAACAGCAAAGGCCTGATCTCCTTTTGACTTTAAATGAGATCGACGGACTGAGAGCAATGATTTATTATTTGATCTTAAAGACCTAGGTGCTTGGTGAAGAGCAATAAGCTCAGATATATAAGCAGGAGCTATCCCATGCACTGCTTTAAAAACATACAGCAGAGTTTTATATTTTATCCTGAAATCCACAGGTAGCCACCTGAGAGATGCTAAAACAGGAGAAATGTGATGACTTTTCTTAGCACCCACCAGCAGCCGTGCCGCCGCATTCTGAACTAACTGCAAGCGTGATATAGTGGTCTGACTGGACCCTACATACAAAACATTACAATAGTCAAGGCGGGACAGAACAAAGGCATTAATAACCTTTTCTAAATCTTTTCTCGACAGAATAGGTTTTAAGCGTGCAATAGTCCTAATCTGGAAAAAACAACTCTTAACCACAGCATTAATCTGCTTGTCAAATTTCAGCTCTGGGTCAAACACAACACCTAAGTTTTTTACTTGGTCATGGCAATAATCTGACCATGTGCCAAAATATGTTGCAATATCAAGGCATCTTCTGGCAGGGCCGAAAAACATGATCTCAGTTTTACTTTGATTTAACTGAACCAAATTATGAGTCATCCAGCTCTTAACCTCCTCCAGGCATGCCAACAGTGAATTAGAACCACAATTCTCTCCTGATTTCAACGGGAGATAGATTTGTGTATCGTCGGCATACAAATGGTACGACATGCCATATTTTTTAAAAATCAAACCCAGGGGTAACATGTACAAAGAAAATAAAATAGGGCCTATAACAGAACCCTGAGGAACCCCACAAGTGACGGGCACTACTGTTGATACAAAGTTACCATACTTTACTGAAAATGTTCTATCAGTAAGATACGACTTGAACCACTTTAAAACTGTCCCACGTATTCCAACCAATTGGGATAACCGCTCTATGAGAATCGCATGGTCTACAGTATCAAAAGCCGCACTCAAGTCCAATAAAATCAAAGCTGCAGCATTACCTGCATCTTGGATTAAACGAAGGTCATTAACAACTCTCAAGAGTGCTGATTCCGTACTATAACCTGCCCTAAAACCGGACTGAAATTTATCTAGGATCTCATGTTTACTTAAAAATAACATCAGCTGTGCATAAACCACCTTCTCTAAAACCTTTGACAAGCATGAAAATTTTGAAATAGGCCGATAATTCTTCAATTCAAAAGGATCCAAGTTATGCTTTTTAAGAAGCGGCTGAATAACCGCTTGCTTGAGAGCCGTTGGAACAATCCCATTATGCAGACTGCTATTAATAATAGAGGCAATACTTGGTCCAAAAACATCCACCAATTCCTTGAGAAGACGTAAAGGAGTCACATTACAAACATCAGATGTACGCTTCAAATGAATAATGATGTCCTTAACTTGCGCCACTGACACCGACTCAAAGAGGTCAAAACTCTTGACACTAGCTTTTCAACACAGTCTCAACTGGCAATAAAGGAAGACTAGATCTAATCTTCTCCACTTTTTCTATAAAATATGTTTGAAACCTGTCACATGTTTCCAACGAAGGTGTCAAAGCAGAACAGCCAATTGGTTTTAGAAGTGTATTTATCGTTGCGAAAAGGGCTCTAGGGTCATTACATTTCTGTGCAATGACATTAGAGAAATAATTTTGCCTCGCATTTCTCACAGCAGCCTGATAGTCTGAAAAACACTGCCTCATAATTTGAAGAGAAACCTGTAGTTTATCCTTTCTCCATTTTCGTTTAGCCTTTCTACATTCCTGCCTCAAAGAACGAGTATAATTATTAAGCCAGGGTATTGAATTAATCTTTGGTTTCCTAACTTTATATGGGGCCACTACATCCAAAATATCTGAGCAAACAGAATTAAAGAGAATCAACAGCTCATCTGGGCCCACAAAAAGAGAAGGAGACTCAATCACATTCACAAATGAAGAGAAGATATATACCTCAGAAAATTCTACAGCCGTTGATGACGTAATGAGTCGAGAACAAATGCAAATGATTAAGGTATAATAAGAAATGCATAGCATTATTGGCGCCAAACCTGTGATATTATTTTTCTGAGTAATGAATGAGATTTGAGAGTATAATAGCCAGTCTAATACTATGCTAGAGTTGTTGTCCCGTAGCTACTTGTTATGACACGTCAGGCGGCTAATGTTGAACCTGTTGTTACGTGTAAATTAGATCCAGAGGCATCGTCTTCGTTGCAATATTACCCTTTTTATTGTCCTCCACACAGATACACAGCACACAAGGTCCACAAGTACGAAGATTCCCAGAACTTAACACGACAACAGCGTTTATCAAACTCCGCCGTAGCGGTCAAAAACTTGTTTGCCCTTCCCGGGGTCAACATCTCCCAACTACCTGTTGACCCCTCACATATATATATATATGAGCCTACAGCACCATCTAGTGGCCCAAATAAAAGATAAACACACATTTGGCTCCTACAGAGAGCATGAGGGAAGGTTTTTTTTTTTAGAGAATAACTGGTTAAAAAACACAAGTACAATACAATTTCATAATTCACACAGAAAAGTTCGTAGTAATAGAGTACTTGCATGTAGTGCAGGTAATTTACTGTAATTCAATGTTGCCTCTGAAATTTTCAGATTACTTTAGAAATGTACAGTTACTGGTTGTTCTAGGGAAACAAAAGAACAAAGCTGATTATATCCATCCACAACATAATATTTATTGGCCAGTCAAGGGCTTTAAAAGGATATTTGAGAGAATGAGGGCACCTGTAGTAAGTAAACAAAAACAGACCATTAAACTATATGTGTTATTCATAACAAATGCCAATGATGACAGCAGGAATCAGCTATTAATTAGTTACAGTGGGGAGAACAAGTATTTGATACACTGCCGATTTTGCAGGTTTTCCCACTTACAAAGCATGTAGAAGTCTGTAATTTTTATCATAGGTATTCTTCAACTGTGAGTGACGGAATCTAAAACAAAAATCCAGAAAATCACATTGTATGATTTTTAAGTAATTCATTTGCATTTTATTGCATGACATAAGTATTCAGAAAAGCAGACCTTAATATTTGGTACAGAAACCTTTGTTTGCAATTACAGAGATCATACGTTTCCTGTAGTTCTTGACCAGGTTTGCAGGGCTGCAACAAACTATCATTTTGATAATCGATTAATCTAACGATTATTAGAACGATTAATCGACTAATCGTCGATCATTTCGCCGACTAATCAGTAAGTTTGGAACGATTATTCAGCTTTTTCAATTAGTTAAAACATTGAGTTATACATATTCTAACTATAATATAAAAAAGAAAATCCCTTCAGCTTTTGAAATAGTTGTTTTAATGAACTTTGAGCCAACTAAACAGGTCATTCAGATTTTGGTCCAACACAAATGCTCTCTAAGCATTGTTTAATAGGCCCACTGCTTTTCTTAGAACTAAAACAGAAAAAGGGACATTTACTTCAGGACACAAAGAATGGTCAAATATTAATCTGCAAACAATTATTATTAATCTGCAAACAATTATTATAAGTATAAAATTACAATCTTTTTTACATGACAATTGAGCTGACAGAGACGTTCTCATTTACCTTTTAATTTACAGTATGAAAAGGTAACTCCCATGATATTCTTCCTAACATCTCCTTTTGTAAGTATTCGTGATTATGGAACAAAATACAGGCAAGTGATAAGACTATAATTCTATGCAAAATAAATCATCAGATTACTGTAATTATATTATTATTATTGATAATATTATTAGTATTATTAGTAGTATTGCATTCTCTAATAAAGAGATTTACTGCTAGTTAGTTAGCTCCAGCTGGAGAACACTCACTTCTCACCGGCTACTCTTTTGCCGGGATGTAGCCTATTTGTATTGCACACGACAGCATTCTTGGTTTGAAGTTTTGTGAAACTTTCCCAAACTTTGCTAGTTCGGATTTGTTTGCACTCCGTCATAATTCGCCTTTCTTTTACTGTCTATGTAATTTGCGCTGTTTTTTCTTGTACAGCAATAACATTTGTAAGGGCTGCATTACACTCTAGCGCTACAGTGCCGTAGCGGTCAAATCGCGATATTGCAGGCCCTTACATTAGGTCACGTGAGTTCAAACGACTACTCGACAACAAAGAAGATATTTGTCGACAATTTTTTATTTAGATACAGGTTTCGGGGCTGTCGCTGGGCAATACGGACTTTCAGCTCCCTCCAAAGATTTTCTATTGGGTTCAGGTCTGGAGACTGGCTAGGCCACTCTAGGACCTTGAGATGCTTCTTGCGGAGCCACTCCTTAGTTGCCCTGGCTGTGTGTTTCAGGTCGTTGTCATGCTGGAAGACCCTGCCACGACCCATCTTCAATGCTCTTACTGAAGGAAGGTAGCCTGGTTAAAACCAGACCATTCTCAGTTGTAACTGAGTTATGGTCTGGCAAAGCGCCATAGACAAATCATTTCCAGAGGGGCGTCACCAACGGACGTCGCGGATAGACCTAAAATCAATCAGAGCGATGAAGGAGATGACGTATGCAGAGCGGCGGAGAAACATCTCCGAGTGTTGTTCTTTGCTCGGTTTTTAACAAAAAGGAAACGTTCAAAACGCTTAAAAGAGACGCGATAGCTGATTCGAACGAGTGATGTTCGACGGCGGCATCCATCTTTGTAATATAGGCTACAAAATCTGCTTCAAAATCCCAGCGCTGTCGTCATCGTGTAAAGCCCGCCCCAACGTTTCTGATTTGTGCCTCGATTTCGACGGATTTGAAATGGACTTGAATGAGCTCTTTGCCAGACTAACTTTCAGAGCAAATCTAAATTTGCCGGAAGTTGTCTGGGTTTTCCCAGGTTAGAAGGAAGGAGGTTGTTGGCCAAAATCTTGTGATACATGGCCCCATCCATCCTCCCCTCAATACGGTGCAGTTGTCCTGTCCCCTTTGCAGAAAAGCATCCCCAATGAATGTCGTTTCCACCTCCATGCTTCACGGTTGGGATGGTGTTCTTGGGGTTGTACTCATCCTTCTTCTTCCTCCAAACACGGCGAGTGGAGTTTAGACCAAAAAGCTCTATTTTTGTCTCATCAGACCACATGATCTTCTCCCATTCCTCCTCTGGATCATCCAGATGGTCATTGGCAAACTTCAGACGGGCCTGGACATGCGCTGGCTTGAGCAGGGGGACCTTGCGTGCGCTGCAGGATTTTAATCCATGACGGCGTAGTGTGTTACTAATGGTTTTCTTTAAGACTGTGGTCCCAGCTCTCTTCAGGTCATTGACCAGGTCCTGCCGTGTAGTTCTGGGCTGATCCCTCAACTTCCTCATGATCTTGCATGCAGTGTTAATTTCGTTGACGAAAATAACGACGAAAATTATTCGTCAACGACATTTTTTCACAGACGAAAACGAGACGATAACTAAATAAAACCTAGTTTTGAATGACAAAGACTATGACGAAAATCTAATGAGATTTTCGTCAACGAATAAAAACTAGACGAAAATGTTAGATAGTGACGATTTGGGAAGCGATCCGTCAGAACTGATGTCCTGCGTGTGTGGTAGATGCGCACATTTGTAGGCTACTGTAACGTGATCTACCCCGCGGTCATAAAACGTTAAAAAATGTGAAAGTCAAGTCAAGTCACCTTTATTTATATAGCGCTTTTTACAATACAGATTGTATCAAAGCGCTTCACAGTGATAACATGAAAACAATATAACAAAAACAATATAACAATATAACAAAGTTTGTTTCTAAAAGAAATTGCGTCAACGTCCACCTTAAGTAAGGCAGATCAATAATATTATTGAATATTAAATGTTAAATGTCCCCAACTAAGCAAGCCAAAATCCAAGGCAACAGTGGCAAGGAACCAAAACTCCATCAGGTGACAGAATGGAGAAAAAAACCTTGGGAGAAACCAGACTCAGTCGGGGGGCCAGTTCTCCTCTGGCCAACGGAAGAACAGTGCATGAACGTCTGGGAGAATGAGTAGAGCAGACATATATATCTGAAAAAGAGTGACGATGCAAAAAAGAGTTCTATTCGGTGCGGTTTTCTGTGCGCACACACCTAACCCGAAGCGTGCAGTCATGCACAATACACCTACAGCGCGCGAGTAGGCTACTGAATTGAGCTCTCTTTCGTGTCTGAATGGACAAAAACACACAACAGTCTGTCTAAATGTCCGTTTTAGAGAGTATTCATGTAAACTATGCTGGTTATGTCTTAAACTGTGAGTGTATCGGATGTGCATCAGTGCAATTGTATCCGCATGTCATTGGACATGATCCGACGTCTTAAAGTGACAGTGGCAATAAACCTAATGCGGTCCGTGTCCTTAATTTTGATCAAGCAACAAAAGAAAAAGAGAAAAGCATTCACTGTTTGTTAATAGCTTTAATAAGGATTAATTATATTGAATTCATACAAATAAATATGTCTGCTTGAAAGAATAAAGAATGATGTATGCAAGTAGTTATAAGGAATGCATATATCATTCATTGTAAAGAAGACTGTGTTGTACTTTAGGAAAAGTGGTTTTATTTAATTTTAAGATATTTTTTAAGTAACAGCAGTTAAATCTGTATCTGTATTGCATGTTCAAACTTAAAAATCATTCATATTAATAGGTTAATAGATGTTTTCTCCGGGAGTAAATGGGTTTGGAAATTTTAGAGAAATTCTAAATTAACGCATTACAATTGAACTAAACCCATTATATTTTAGTCGACTAAATCTACTGTAGATTTAGTCGACTAAAATGTTATTGTATTTCGTCGACTAAAACTAGACTAAAACTAAAACAATTCAGATGACTAAAATATGACTAAAACTAAATGCCATTTTAGTCAAAAGACTAAGACTAAAACTAAATCAAAATTTGCTGACAAAATTAACACTGCTTGCATGGAGCCCCAGACCGAGGGAGATTGACCGTCATCTTGAACTTCTTCCATTTTCTAATGGTTGCGCCAACTGTTGTTTGCCTTCTCACCAAGCTGCTTGCCTATTGTCCTGTAACCCATCCCAGCCTTGTGCAGGTCTACAATTTTATCTGAAGTTCTTACACAGCTCTCCAGTCTTGGCCATTGTGGAGAGGTTGGAGTCTGTTTGTTTGAGTGTGTGGACAGGTGTCTTTTATACAGGTAATGGGTTCTAACAGGTGCAGTTAATACAGGTAATGAGTGGAGAACAGGAGGGCTTCTTAAAGAGAAACACACAGGTCTGTGAGAGCCGTAATTCTCACTGTTTGGTAGGTGATCAAATACTTATGTCATGCAATAAAATACAAATGAATTACTTAAAAATCATACAATGTGATTTTCTGGATTTTTGTTTTAGATTCCGTCACTCACAGTTGAAGAGTACCTATGATAAAAATTACAGACTTCTACATGTTTTGTAAGTGGGAAAACCTGCAAAATCGGTAGTGTATCAAATACTTGTTCTCCCCACTGTATATCAGCAATTTGAAGACACAGTTGTACAGAATAAGTTGAATTGAATGACTAAAACAATCTAAGACAATAAGTAAATGATTTCCATTTGTTCATTAGATTAGTTAGCATCGCGGCTAAAACCTTCATACCACGAACTGCAATAAACGAGTTGAATTTTTTTTAAAACGTAGTAATGTATAATACATTTAGTTTATGTATATCTTTGAATATACGTATAGTGAGTACTGTATTTATATTTCTTTGGCGAGTTTACAAACCTTGTGACCCGAACAAATGGCTCTGATGAGAGGAGCCGTTATCTTCAAACCCGATGATGATCAGCTGAGCTTTGTTGCGCGCGAGCAGCGTGAGGATCACTGAAGCGATGACAGCAGAGGAATAGCAGCAGTTTCGTGACAGAATAAAACTTTTCTCCTCCTGCTTCTTATTCTTCATATTATTATTATTATTTATTGTTGTGGTTTAAGGTTCAAATTAATCAATAAAATAGACCTATACTAAATAAATGTAAGTGTAACACGCCTCGCGGCTAGAACACAACCCCCACTCTCAAACTACGAAATATGCAGATGAGCATGAAGAAGGTGCACCGCTCTAAGATTTGGACCAGCGATCAGAAGACTAGACTCGCTCAAGAGACCGTGTGAACAACAAGGGGAAAGAATCAAGGACACACTTGAACTGCGTTAGAACAGGTAAGTATATTTCGAGGAATTAGTAAATAAAATAAAGAAATAGAAGAATGATAATAGGACAAGGCAGTAAAATTTCAAAACATTGTCACATAACTCAAAAGAGGAAAAATAATAAATAATCAGGAAGACGGCAAAAGTTTTGTTCTGGACAAGTGAAAGTGTGACTTCTTTACACTAGAGTTAAGTCCTATT